TCTTGCTGGTAAGTTGAAATTAGTTTCTATTTTGATTCCAATACATTTAATCAAACAACTCATTTACATACAAACTTTACTCATGTAAGGTGTTAACATTGAAAACCCCAACTATAATCAAAGAAAAATGATTATTATGTAACATAATTAAAATGTCCTCAAATGTATTCATAATTAAAGAGGTCAACATTTGCAAGAAAATGCAACGTCTCCACCAAGCAATCCCAATATGGTCAATTTTGACACCAAAAATTGTGAAAAACACAGATAAATGACACAAGTCCAACATCTTTGTTTGTCAGTGTGTACCCATAGAAAAAAAAAATCTTTGTACCAAATTCTATGTAAATTGGTCTAAACAAAGTTAAATTGAACAGTGGATGGGTGAAAACGAGATTGAACAAGATAACTGCATTAATTCTGAACTTGCTAATAACACATTTAGAAGTTCAAAGAATGATAAGGCTCCTGGGCCAGGTAATGTCTTCCCATAGGTTTTGAAGGAAGTTAAGGATTGGATATGAGAGCCACTTTCTACTATTTTTTTGTAAGTTATTGAATAGTGGGCAGGTGCCAAAGGATTGGAAGTTAGCTAATGTCACTCCCCTTTTCAAGGAAGGTAATAAAAATTGTTCAAGTAATTATAAGCCTATTAGTCTTACATCAGTTGTGGGAAATATTTTTGAAAGTCTGATAAAAAAATACTTTGCAAATTCATCAAACAAAGCTTAAAATTTTATTGGATAGCCAACATGGTTTCACTAAGAGAAAATCTTGCCTTGCCAATCTTTAACTTTCTCTGAAAAGGTTACTGCTCATGTAAATGAGGGTAAAGGTGTAGTTTTGGTGTATCTGGATCTTCAGAAAGCATTTGACAAGTTGTAACATAAAAGGCTTGTAAAAAAAATATGTATAATTATATCTACAGGTGTGAGGATAAGTTGGCTAATTGGAAAGAAGAGGGATTGAACGAAAGAAAGCAGGGTTGTTATAAATGGACTTCAGTTAAACTGGATTAATGTCACAAGTGGGGTACCTCAGGGCTCAGTCTTAGGACCTTTGCTCTTTTTGATTTACTTCATTGACATAGAAGAAGGAATGGTTAATAAATTACTTAAATTTGCTGATGACATTAAGGCTTTGATGTTGCTAGCTGTGAATAGGATGCTGCTGATTTACAAAAGAATTTAGATCATTTAATAAGTTGAGAAAATAAATGGCAAATGGGTTTTAATTATAATAAATGCAAGATATTGCATGTGGTTTATCATAATTTGAATTATAAGTATAATTTTGGATGGGAATAACCTTAACAGTGTCATGAAAGAAAGGGATGTTGATGTAATGGTTGATCAGTCTCTCAAGCCATCCAAGCAGTGTGCTGTTTCAAGTGGTTGGGCAAATAGGATTTTACATTGTATCTACAGAAATATTAAATAGAAGTCTAAAGAGGTTATAATTTCATTGTTTAGGTCACTGGTTTGGACACATTTGGAGTATTGGGTTCAATCTTGTGCTCTTTACCTGAGAAGGAACACTGAACTGTTGGAAAAGGTTCAGAGGTGGGTTACTAGAATGGTGCCTGGGATGGAGGGGTTGTCATATGAGGAGAGATTAATATTTTTGAAATTGCTTTCTCTTGATAAAAGAAGAGTTAGAAGGGATCTGATTGAGGTGTTTAAGATTGTAAAGGGAATTGATACTGTTGATGCATCATTTTTTTTCATACTTAACAGCAAGAATAGTAGGACTAGGGAACACAAATATAAATTTTGGTAGAGTAGGAGTCATCTTCAGCTAAGACAGTTATATTTTTCTAACAGGGTGGTTGGTCTTTGGAATGGGTTTCCTTTGGATGTTGTGGAGGCAGGAAATTTAAGTTAGTTTAAGTGAAAGTTTGATAACTATATGAATGATAAAGGCTAACTTTAGTATTTATATTTACTTATTTCGTTTATCTATTCAACTATTTATTCATTTACTTAAGTTTAGAGGAAAGGACAGCCAAGATGGACCAAAAGTCCCTTGTTGTCCCTAAACATTATGTTGTTACTAATTGACAAAACCTCTAAAATTATGGGTTCATATAATCTCTTGACTCCCCTAAAGTTACCAAAATTGGATTATCCCAAATTTTTTGTGTATATCATATGTGGTTGTAAAATATGGGACTGGTAAAAAGTATCTTTGTACCAAATACTATGTAAATTGGCCAAAATATGGCAGAGTAATTGTTAAAAACCCTAAAATTATGCTTTTCTTTTGAGAGCTTTGATCCCCTTAAGAAAGACTCGGAAAGGGCAAATCCAACTTTTAGATATGTCAATGCACTGAACACATGAGAATTTATATTTGTGCCATTTTTCATCTTGAATGTTGTAAGTATGACTACACAAGAGCCAAAAATATATATTTTGGGGTTGTTTGACCTTTAACCCCATAAAATCCTTAAAAAGGACTAAATGAAAAAGGTGTCTGGGTATACTAGACCAAGATATAATGCTACCAAGTTTCAAGTCAATTGCTAAGAAATGAAGGAATGGCAGTTGATTGAAAAGTGTTTGGAAGAAGAGGGAAGAAACAATAGAAAATGGTATGTCTCTCTGTGGAGACAAAAATATTTGCAGATCACATTCAGGTGGCTTGTACAGACAACCCAAAAAGTAGTTTTTATTTTGTATGACCATAAATTCTATAGTTTTATTCACTATTAAAAATTTTTACAAACATCAAAAGAAATTTCCTCTTTAATATAGAATACAATTCCACCACCTATTCTGTTTTCCATAGTAAAAAAGTAAGAAATATAACCTTGAATATTAAACATTATATCATCATCTTTAAGCCAAGCTTTTGTAGATACAAACAAATAAAATCATAACTTATATAGTGCAACTCACAAAAACTTTCATCCATGTTCTTTTCTTAAACTTCCAGCATTCATTTAATGTATTGATAAACCAGAAAAGTCACTTATTTATTTGATCAATATGAATATAGTCACCTATTATTTCAGGATCATTTTCTATATAATTAAATTATTAATCATCACTGAAAGTCAAATTACAACTCATAACATAATATTCCTTTATAAAATACATTGTATTATATCAGTAATTACACAAGTGGGTTATTTTGAATACAATTTAACTAATATCTAAGTAATCGTCCATTATATCAAGCTCTATTTCCTTTTTACCTAAGTTGTTTAGGTTATTGATCACCATAACATATTAACTTACAATTTCTGAAGATCATTTTCATTCCTTACAAGTATAACATTCATTGAATCCTCCTTTCTTAAATGGATTCAACCATTTTTAAACCAATAACAATTATAATCTTTTTCCCTTTCTCAGCTGCTTTGCCTTATAAAACAGATTTCTAAAAAATAATAACAAATGTTCATTTACATACATGTTATATTTTTCATCAACAATCCCTGAATCTCTTGTTGTTAATTTCCTTTTTTCTTCATACACTGGAGAGAAATTTCTCAAAGTGGCTTGATGTTTAATTTTATAGGTCTTGGGATATACCCTTATTTGGTCTTTTCTTTCAACTTTCTGTGATACTTCTATATTATTAGGTCTAATTGAAATACCTAAATTACTAGCTATTTAATTGACTATTATTTCTGTGTTTTTTCCAAATCATTTCAGGTACCCCAATATTTCAAGATTTTGGTTGTAACTATATTGTTTAATTTCAATTTTCATTCAACCTACATCACATGAGGTTTGAAATCTTTTTGGACGATATTAATAGCAACTTTTTGGTTTTTAATTTTTTTACTTCTGTATTACATTAATTCCTTAAGGATTAACTGTACTTGGCATAACAGTTCATCATATTTTTGTGAACAAAAAATTTCACTTTCTAATAATGATGCTGACATTGCAGTGTCATTTTTCCTTAATTTATAACATTAGTGGATCTAAAATAGGCTTACTATGACTTTTTTAAGTCTAAGTTACTGCAGTGTCACCGATACTTGTTTGCTGGCTATCTTTGTATCAACATCTGTTGCACCTCCACTCTGATCTACTATTTTGGAAAATTTATGAAAACTTTGTTCTGTGAATCCAACATAGTAAAGGTGATTTACTGTGTTGGTATACATTTTATCATATCACATTTTCTTTAAATGATATGCATTTGTTGCAAGCTCTAGTCAAAGCCATTTTTCAAAATAAACAGCTTTTGAAATGTTTAGTAACACAATTCTGAAATAAACTTAAGAACATGAACATAATTTATACCATTATACTAAAACTTACAAGTACAACAGCACTACACATACAGTATCTATAAGTTGTACTGTTGTAGCAGTAGTAGTAATATTATAGAGTGTAGTAATGCTTTGATGATTGAATCGCTTGAAAATTCTGATAATTGTCGCAGACGAAAGAAATATTATCATTTAATGTTGCATCTGTATGTTATTATTAATATTAACAAATACCTAAATGAAATTATCTATGTAATTTTCAAATCTTTTGATCTGTTATAAATACTAAAATATTAAACATTATCAGGTCCTGATTTATGTACATGGCCTGAGAACCAATATTTTTTAATATCTTTAAATATATTTGATTGAACTAATATTTAAATCTAAACAGTGAAAGTTCAGGTGCTCTTTTGTTTCACTTTCACACCTTCAGTTATATTTTAATTTCTAATTCTGTTGCTCATTTGCTGCCCTTTCAGTTTTAGTATAACTATAAGTATAATTTAGAAGTATAATCTAGTTTTAATTTTTTGAGACGATTAATTGAAATGCAAGGACAAATTCCTTTAATAATTAGAGAAATACTAAAAGTAAAAGAAATTCAACAAAACATATCCTTAACACGAATATGAACTTACGCATCCGAGTTGGGTATATTTTCTGGACGAAGCAAAGAAGTGTGATATGAAAACTAAATAATAACAAAACTATGTGACACTAACAACAAAACACCCGCCCCCAAAGCATTAACTCTTATAACACCCACCTTGAATTAATGTTTGAATTCTGAAAGTGAAAATAAACTGCGCCACTACTAGACATGCGCAAATAACGTTATGAAACTATGTGGTAGAATGAAATATGAAGTTGGCACAGGAAACTATATGGCCAACGAAATGGTAATGCCTTTGTTTGTTGCTAAGCGCAAAGCTATACAGTGGGTTATCTGTGCTCTTCCCACCACGGTATCGAAACCCGATTTTTAGAGTTGTAAGTCCGCCGTCACACTGCTATGCCACTGGAGGGAAGGTAACGTCAGAAAAGACTATTCTACAAGCGAAGAAAGAGTTAGGCATAACCTCTAACACAAAAGAAAAGTAGTTGGAAGCACTATAGTCTTTTTGTTTTAGAATACAGCATACGTTTATAATTATGCCTACAGGTTTTAGAAAGAGAAACCTTTTATGTTGTACCCACTAATAATGGGTAAGATAGTTATGCGTTTTGTACTTTGTGGGAAATTAAGTTAGCAGTACGTCTTATCCCCAAGTGTCGTAAATTGTTGATGACTTACGTTCAAACTCTCTAACAACACTGTACTAGGACTAACGTAAATTCAACTTAATTACATGATACTTAACACAGATCCAAACATTAGCGTCCGCATAGGGGGGGGGGGAAGGGGCATTTGCCCCCTGAAAAATGAGAAACACAATCCTTTCTTTATTCATTCAGTATATGAATTTACAAGTTTTTTTTATTCACTTCACAATTTCATACTACTTATTACACTTAATTTTCAATTCTAATAAAAGTCACTACCACAGCAGCCTCTTGGATATTGGACATGGAAATTCTCATTCAGATCTTAAAGGGTCTTGTCAACATCCCCTGAGGCCTAACACAGTGTGATCGGAGTCAACCTGTTGCCACCTGCTGGTAATAACGGCAGCAGGTTATCAAAGAGACTGACACAGTCTTGCAGAGTATATATATATAGCTCCAAGTCTGTAGTAAGGCTTAAACTAACCTTACAAGTATTAAACCCATCAAATCTGACTATAGGAACTTGCCTATTCTCTTAACTGTAGTGCCAAAACTTTGAAGGCGGGTCGGGTCCATCGTCCCTTGACTTTAACTTTGCTCCCCTCCTCATAGAAAATTTCTGCAGACGCCCAAGGATCCAAATATACTGACTGTTTACCTTACGAGCTAGAAACAACTCTCTATTTTTTATTATCTTTCAATTCACTCTCTCTCTCTAAACAACTATCCTATATTTATAATTTAGTTTCAAATGTATGAAAAAACCTTGACGTCAACAGTTTGTCACAAGCTGATTTAAATCTTTTATGGGTTAAATCATGTACGAAACCTTTATTCTTCACATCCATGAAAGATCTTCCAACCACCAATCAGTCAGGACCAAGGTGTTTGGTTCCACTTTGCTCCAATTAGTAGATGAAGATTTATTACTAATAATTCCTGGCATGACTATTTCCCTTCTTAGTAAAGTAATGAACACCATTCCTGTTTCCAGTGGAAGTTCAACCTCTAGTGTAGAAATTGTCATGTACTACATAGGATTTCTTGTTCATCGACTGTAAAGCTATTTCAAGCTAGCCTAACCTCACCTCCCTGTTTCCTTATGAAGTCAGTTCCCAATATATACTCTTCTTTGATGCCAATTACTAATATATCATGAGGTATGGAGAAGCTCTTTATGGTAAAGGTAACTTCCAACTTCTCCTTTTACTGGAACTTTGCGGCTACCTGCCGTTCACATCAATCCCTCTTCATCTCTGGAAGTCAATTTTCTACCTTTCATTAACAAATTGGATTGAGCAAATGTAGCTGTAGAACCAGTGTCAATCAGCACATTCCCATTGACTCATAGATGATTTTCTTCGGATAATGAACTTATTTTCTTAATTGGGGTAGATAAATATTGTTACCCTCCGTTCGTTAGTTAATTTTCCGTATAATTTCTTTCCGATGAAACTGTAGCGACACAGGTCCTTTCTTAAATAAAACCGGTTTATTCTTTCTGAATACAACTTTGCAATACACTTAATTTCAACAGTCGCGCTATAACAAACGCTATAATTCACAACGAACGTCTCACGTGCTTGACTGAACAATACTCTCTCTCTGTCCGCAGTTCACTTACCATTACATTTGTTACGTCTCCGTTTGTTAATTGATTTTTTGTAAATTCGTTCC